AGCATTAATGTCTGTTGTGAACCTTTAAGATAAATTTAAGGCACGCAGCATGTCCTAAACTTGTTTCACCACCAAGGATCCTTTGTGCAGGAAGTTATCATGAGAGTCTGACTAAGAGCTAATATTTCAAGCAATGTGTATCTGTTATCTATTGCCACAGTAATGCTGCATAACAAGCAGCTACAACATCTCAGTGGAATAGAATAATAAAAACGTATTTAGCTTGCAGACTTGCAGAGTTCAGCTGATCTTGATCTGGACTTGGTTGATTTCAGCTAATCTCACTCCCGTGTCTCTGGTCACCTATGGGTTGGGCAGGCAGCTCTTCTGGTCTCGGGCAGGTTTGCTCACATGTCTGAGGGTTCAGCTGGCTGTTGGCTGATCTAGGGTGGCTTTAGCTAGGAAGACGGGGTGACTTGTCTCTGCTGTATGTCTCTCATTCTTAAGCACGCTAGACCTAGCATGTTCTCCGGACTGTGACAAGGCAGCAGGAAAGAGAGCGAGCCCCGTCGTGCATGCACTTTTCAGCACTTATTTGTATCATGTTTGCTAATATCTCGTTGGTCAAGCCAATCCCAGAGCAGGAGGAGTCTGCAAGGTTACATAGCAGGGTGTGTAGATACAGGAAGGGAGAAGACTTGGGTTCTCTTTGCAGTCAATCTACCCTGGAACCCAACTTGAGGGTTGCTGGGTGAGATCACAGTCAGCTGAGAGTGAGGAATGAGGTCAGATTTTCTCTCTGCCGTGGCCACAGACTGTACTTTTAATTCTGATAAGCAATCTCACAGGTAGATGCCTGGGCCAGGTCAAGGGAGAGAAAGTTCATCTGGTTCCCCACAGGACTTCTATTATCTTTCTTTGGAATCATTTCAGGACTGAAAGGATTGTGGACAGCAGCTAGTTCTCATTGTATGATGTCGGAAAGGAGGAAACAGAGGCCCAGAGAGGTTCACTGGCCAGTCTAAAACCACACAGCTAGCTAGAAACCAATGAGCCTGGAACCCAGATGCTCCCTCAAGTCATTGGATTTAAATAACCTCAAAGAAGCTTTGTTCGGGGCTGGGGGAGGTGGTGGAAGGGACTGAAATTGTATCTGCAGTCTTTATGTATGAACAAATCACATGCCTTCTGGAGGGACTGTAATAAAAATAATTTAAAAAATAGATGTTAGATGTCTTTGGAAAGGCGAAGTAGATAATTGAACATTGAGTAGGTGCTGACTATTGTGACTGGAGATTGTATTTTTTTGGAGGAAAAGCTGGGGATGAGGCTTGGGAAGGGCCCTCAGCTGGGTGTCATTTCACTTAACTTGAACTGTCGTTTCCTCACCTGTGAACGTTAGAAAACGAAAGCAAAATGTGAAATCCTTGATGAATTTGCATGGCATCCTTGCACGGAGGCCATGCTAACCTTTTAATTTTACCATCTGTGCGGCTGAAGTGAGCGCTGACAGGAAATCCCTGGTCATCCAGTTTTGTTTTCGAAGTTCTTCTCTCCTCCGCCCCCTCCCAACCCCCAAGGACTTCTGCATCAGAGAAGTCAGCAGATGACTTCTGAGAAGGGAAAAAGGAATTTGTGTTCTAGCTCCTGCTTTGTTCAACAGCAGATAAAATCGTGAAGGCAGATCAGTCTTCCAGAATAGGGGCTCCTTTAACACCTAATTTGGCCGGCATGGGTGGGGAACGATTTGATCTTTGTAGGTAAAGTTGTGATTGTGAAATTCTACCCCGTTAAGCAGTATCAAGTAAACTCGCTATTTCTACGATGGAAATACTGCCACAACATTACGTCTATTTCCCTGATTTACTAAACAGGAAGTAACTGAAACCTCTTGGCCTCACCCACTTAGACATCAGTGTTGAACTGTGCAGTGATATAGCAACGTGCCTTGTAAAGAGCCATGTAAGTGAAAGGCGTTTTCTCCGGTTACATTTTTGTTTGCTTAGGGGCTCCTTAAGGACCACTGGCCCTTAAACTAAGTTTTGACAGAGCTGCTTTTTAAATTCTTGCATGCTATTTCCGGAGTGTTTATTCTTCTTCATTGTCAGTTGATCAGTTGTACTTTGGGGCTGCTCAGATAGACTTGTTCTCAGATCCATTCTGTGGCCGTCCCCTGCGGCGCTCCATGTTACGGGGAACTACCTTTCCCGGGCTCTCTTGCCCTCTGGTATCCAAGGGAGATGTAAGGGTATCTCTCCGGGCCTCTTTCTGCTTTCTTTGGTGTCTCTAGGAACAGCTGTGTCTCTCCCATAGCTCCTGCTCCCACCAGACTTCCCGCTTCTCCATAGCAGTGCGTCCTGTTCTTATCTCGCCAGTTGGCCCCAGCCCCTAGGGTCTGATAACACCTGTTTCTCTCATTATCTCTCCTGCCTGAGCAACTAACAGCTCGTCTCTGGGCTGCCTCCCTGGTCCGTCTGCGTCCTCTCGGCCATTGATCAGTCTGTAACCAGGCCCTTGGCTTGAAAGAGCGAGAGTGGTTTCTGTTTTCTGGGTGTCTTCCACCAATAACGTTTTACCGCAGTTGCCTTCTCTTGCAGCTTTATCTCATTCTAGATTGCTTTTTTGCAGTCTGCTCTGAAGACAGCAGCCAGCTTAGCCACTTTATTGGACATAAGTACGCAGACCTGACTGAGCAGTAGAGCAGAATGATCCGGAACCTGGGCTCTGGCATCAGTGCTTGGGTTCCAGTCCCAGCCACGCCACTCACTGGCTGCGTGACTGGGCAACTTCCTTTGCCTCCCTGAGACTGAGCTTTTTCATCTGAAAGTAATTACAGTGGCTGTGCTGCCTCTTCAGATCACTACCTGAGGAGGGGAAAGGAAGGTTGGGGATTGGGCAGAGGGCAGAGTGGAGCTGCGATGCAGTCTTGACAGAAGGCGGGGCCAGCCCTGTGGGGAGCTCTGAAGCCGAGAAGACCTGTAGTCACTGATGTTGACCATTGACGGCAGCTGCGTGGGGGACGGTGCTTGACCTTGAGTGGAGCAGCCTTCTCCAGCCTAAGGCAGTGGGCAGTGTTTTCAGTCACAGGGGGATGGGTCAGCTCTTCCGTCCCCAGGTGGGGTCTGGTCATGGCATCACAGTGTCCATGACACGCCTCCAGCCGTGCAGCTGTGAAAGGTAGTTAGTCCATGAGAAGTGTGTGGCTTGGTGCCTGGTACTTGGTGACTGGTCAACAATACTTGGTATCATTGATGGAGTAAATACAAAGTTCAGCAAGTGGACTTTATGATGTCTGAGAGTTTTTGCTGACTTCCTGTCCATGACCCTGTCCTGGAGGGCCCGGACAAGCTGAGTAAGTGGCCGGTGGGTGGGTAAATGTCTGTGGCTTCTGCACGTTGCCCAGTAAGCACACCTGCATTTTTATACGAATGTTAATGTGGTATCTTTACCTGTGGCTTGCCCTTAGGTTCTCATATCATTATTTTCCAAAGTATTCAAGTATTCAGCATCAAATTTGATAAGAATTGATACTGCTCTGGCTTTTTGCACACTTCCTGTGTCGCCACGGTGCTAAGCCTGCATCCTCTCATAACTTCTCAGGACGACTCTCTGGGCTCCGAGAGTCTCACTTTCTGGTGAGGACCTGAGGTCAGGGAGGTGAAGTGATCTGGTCGAGGTCACCCAGCTGAGAAGTGGCAGCTCAGTTCCCCTTCCAGGGCTGCAGCACCAAACTCCGGCGTGAGCCTCCGCGTTCAGACAGCAGTAGGGGAAACCTTCTCCTCTGAAAATAACTCTAGCGAAGTGTAGGTGTTGTTTGGGTAGAAACATTTCAGCTGCTGCCATAAAAATCTTCTCCCAAATGGCTCTGTGAGAGCAAAGCCGGGCAGGCTCTGCCTGTGTTTGTGACGCAAGCCTTATGGCTCAGACAACACAAATGATTTGTTTTCCTGGCCTTGTTGGCGAAGCCATTTAATTTCTGGATTTCCCTGAGGAAAAGGCTGAACAAATACATTTCCGTATAATTGGATGTTTTCAAAGAGGAGCCATGTGGAAACGTCGCCGGGGGAAGCCAGGTACGTCTTCCTTCACTGAGTGATGCAGTTAGCAGGGCGGAGGGACAGGGGTGGGGGGTCCGGGGTGATAAATGCATGAATAGAATTCACTCGGTAGTTTCACTTCCTGATGTGTGGCCCTCTCCTCTTCATCAGGAAAAGGTCATTATAATTATGTAAAGCCCCGCAGCAAGGTGGGTGTTCAGGTCAGTGGGTGTCCATCATTCTTACTGCAGGACAGCAAATGAGGTCACATTTCTCACTATCTAAGTAAACGCAGTACCTCCTTTTCTGTAGGAAAAATAATTTTTCCAAAGTGGGCACATGGTGCTAATGAGGAGTGTAGACAGCTCTAAGGTCAGGGATTTCTAAGCGTGTTCTGAGGGTCCCTGTTTCTTCGATGTATCAGGATACTTTTGGCCATCTGTCACAGAAAAATGTGAAGCACAGTGACATGAACAAGATGGAGATTCATGGGAAAATATTCAGAGTTGGGCACTAGGTGATTTCATAGTGTCATCAGGAGCCCGGGTTCCTGGCTTTCTGTCCCACCCTCCTAATCACGTGGCTTCCATTTTCAAAGTCACTCAGGGGCCAGTGTGGTTTGGGCCACTGTGTCTGCAGTCCCGATGTGCTGCAGAAAGGAATGAGAAGGAAGGGGCCCTCTTAGTGAAGGCAGCCCCCTCAGTTTCTGCAGCCTTTCTGGAAATTCCACGTGGCACTTCCGTTGGCATTGCATCGGCCAGTGCCTGGTCACGTGGTCAGACCTAGCTGCAAGAGAGCCTGGCGATGCCATCTGTAGTCGAGCACACTTGAGGCCGTCTTACTGATGAAGAGGAGGAGAACGGACACTGAGGGATGACTGTGTTAGGGCTGCGTTTGGGACTGTGTAATACACACGCCTCGACCGAAAATTTAGACAGGTTGGAGTTAATGTCAAAAGGTGGCTTTTGTTGGTGTGTGGAATAAAACACCCAGTCAGAATTTTTGTTCATTGAACATGTTGGCAGCTGTGGTCATGGAATGAGGTCAGTTGTCTTCACCCGCCTCGGTGTGTTGGAATTCCCAAAGCTCAGTCACCAGCTGGTGGGTGAGGCTTTCAAGTAGGTGGGCTCTGCTATGAGTAGTTTTGTTCTTAATCTTTAGTTTCAGGTGTTGCAGAGGGACAGAACTGATGCTGTGTCTTGACTGATAACCTCTGTCATGATGGGCATCTTACAGCTCTCTGAAATGTGCAGTTTCCTTATCCATAAAATGGGCACACGGCGATACCCAGTTCAGTGTATTCAAGAAAGCATCTGAAGGTCACATACGGCCATTGCTGATAATACCTAACACTGACCCGGCGCTCCCCACGTGCTGGGTACAGCTCCCCACAAACCTGTGAGGTGCGCGCTGTGATGATCCCATTCTTAGGTGATGCTACTGAGGCATGAAAAGGTTCAGTGGCAAGGCCAGGTGGCACAGACCTCAGGTTGGTACCCAGGCGCCTGGTGGCTGGTCCTGGCTCACAGTCAGGCTGAAGAACTGCCTCCGTAGGTGTGAGTCTGTGGTTGCTTAAAAAACTGAGAGAAAGAAAGGTCTAATTTTGACAGATTTTGAGAGGGATGTTAACAGTGGCTTCAGTTTTTGAAGTTAACGTTGGACTCTTCGTTCAGAGCCTGCCCTGGCAGTTTGCATGGCTCTTTCCTGCAGGCACATGAGACGTTCAGAGGCAATCAGACTGTATTCTCTGTTCTTTGAGGGATTACGGGGCTCTGTGCATCTTGAAGGTTGTATTTGCAATGAGCGTTCATTTCATTGTTGACCGTCTTCCTTCGTATTAGTTACAGGGTCATTTCTTTTTCTTTTCTTTTTCTTCTTCTTCTTTTTTTTTTTTTAAGCCTAGTTGGGTCCTCGTGGAGCTGCTAAGTTGTGGGATTAGGTGGGACAACTCAAGTCCATTGCTCAGGAAGCTGTAACAGCCACAGAGAGTGGACCCGGAGCTTGGCCGAACCTGTCGGGTTGCTCATCCGGCACCTCTGAGCAGTGGTCTGTGTTCTTCCCCATTGGAGTGGATTTGGGGTTGGGGGAGGGTGGTGAAGAAGGCTCCTGACGTTAGTCGGGAGTGACTCTCCCACTCCACCGGACGATTCACTCAAGGGAGTCACGCTGAGCTACACTGGCAAAGGGCGGAATCCCCCTGGAAGCCGAGGACAGAGGAATCATATGAAGAAAGAGATGGACAAGTGATGCCGTTTGCTTCCGTATTTGCCTTGGGGCACGTGGGCTGCTGTGACGACATCCCGCTAGGTGGTTTGTCAACGGCAGTTATTCCTCACAGTTCCGGAGGCTGGAAGTCTGAGATCAGGGTGCCAGCAGGGTCCAGCGAGGGCCCTCTCCTGGGTGCGGGTGTTTCTTCGTATCCTCCCGTGGCAGAAAGAGCCAGGGAGCTCTCTGGCACCTCTTTTATAGGAGCAGTAATCCCATTCACGAGGGCCCCGCCCTCATGACCTAAGCACCTCGCCAGCCCCCTCCCTCCTAATACCGACGTCTTTGTGGGGTAGGATCCCGTGAATGTTTTGGAGACAACAATACATTCAGATCATAGCAATAGTCGAGCACCTCGCAGCCCCCTCCCTCCTAATACCGACGTCTTTGTGGGGTAGGATCCCGTGAATGTTTTGGAGACAATACATTCAGATCATAGCAATAGTCGAGCACCTCGCAGCCCCCTCCCTCCTAATACCGACGTCTTTGTGGGGTAGGATCCCGTGAATGTTTTGGAGACAACAATACATTCAGATCATAGCAATAGTCGAGCAGATTTTTAAAAAGTCACTGTATCTAAAGTGGCTGTAATTTAAACAAAAAGTCATTTACTGGAGCAGCAGTCAAGAAAACAGCGATTCCTGGGACGGGGCATAATCAGGGCGAATGTTACAATGTTGGTTGGAGGAGCCACATGCCTGGTTGTAATTATGTTTTGGTCGGTGTCATATGTCCAGGGAATGGCAGCCTCTTTTTTAACTCTCAGTGGTTGAAATATTGGGATCTTTAAGCAGAGAGAAAAGGGGGGAGGGTATAGCTCAGTGGTAGAGCGCATGCTTAGCATGCACGATGTCCTGGGTTCAATCCCCAGTACCTCCATTAAAAAATAGAAAAAATATACCAATTTATTTTAAAAAAGAAAAAATAAACCTAATTACACCCCCCCAAAAAAAAATAAAAGAAAAAATAGCTAGGAAAGGAAACTATAATGGAATTCAAGACAGTATACTTGATTTTCTGGCTTCCTGAGGATTACACGGGTTTAAAACACTCCCCCAATTGGTCTCATTTTTTTATTTAAAGGAAAACAGGAGGACAAGAGCCCAAAGAGAAGTCTCTTTACCTTATCTTGTAATTCACAGGCCAGAGGATCAAGTTTGAATGAAATCATTGTTTACCTAGATTTAACTATAAAATACAAGTGACTTTACTAGTAATAGCTAGGAATTCTTGCTCTATGCTAGGTACCATTTTAGTGTTTTACCTTTAATAACATTTCCCATCACAAGAACTGTTTGAGGTAGCTACTGTCATTTTCTCTGCTTTAAAAATGAGGAAATCCAAGGCACAGAGATCTTAAGTAACTTGCCTAGAGACACACAGCGAAGGAGTTGCAAAGCTAATATTCAAACCCAAACCATTTTAAACCCTTCCTGCCACCATCGTGATTGTATTCCACTTCCATTATTATGTCATTTTTTTTAACTTTCTTTAAAGCGCAAATGGAAATGTACTTAAAAAGGAAAACTGAAATCATTACCTTCCGTGGAAAACTGTCCTGTGCCACAAATAGAAGAGGTCAGCAATGAAAATTTAGAAATGAAAACCAGACAGTGTCATTCAGTCCTAAGTAGACACCAGAGCCTGTGAAAACCCGAGTCAGAGACCCATCCTCACTCCACTGAGCATGAGAAGAGGGAGTGCGTTTAAAGACGCGCTCTTACAAAGTCGAGGCTCTCTTTGATGTCATCGGGGGTGTGTGAGTGTGTGAGAGAGAGAGAGACAGAGAAAGGGGGAGAGAGAGAGGGGGAAATCCAGCTTCCTCGATTCTGTGCTGCGCTCTGGGAATCACGTGTCTGACACATGAAGATGTGGTACCATCTTCAGAATTGTCTTTGGGACAGTGAAGCAGAGGGATTCCGAAATGAATGCAGGCCTTTTACCTGCTTCGCCAGTCCAAGTGGAGCTATTGTCTGAATTATTAACCCTAAGGTCACTCACTGGTTCCTCTGGTCCCTAGAAGATCCTATCAGGTTGCTTCGTGGAAAGGACTGTGGGTAATTTTTACCTAAGGCATTATCTGTAGACAAGGTACAGTTACCCCTGAACAGTAAACCAAAATCCTTAGAAAATGGTCTTAAACTGAGCCTTGCTTACTCCTTGACACGTACCTAGTGATTTGAAACATTGGAGAGTCCAGGTTTCTTTCAAGGACATGCTGGACATCACGGGGGACGGTGTCCCTTTCTTTGTTAGCAGGATGACATTCTCTTTCTCTGTGGGCTCTCTGCGATTATTTTAGGATTACTGTATTTTGATTATGATGAGAAAAGCAGAAGGGGTCTTTTCATCTCCCAGTTTAGCGTAGATGAGGAGACACAGTGTGTTTTCACGTAATGAAGAGGGATCTTCCTTTTAATTCGCACGCCCCTGTAAAAGCAATTCATAGACGTAATTAAGACTCAGCAATGTGAACAATAAATTAATTTGCATCTGAAGGTTTTACTGATTATCTGATGACATAATTTCCACATATTCTGATTATGGTTTTCCAGATGCTTTTTACATTATATGAATTCTTAATCAAGATGATTCTATAAGCAGTGCCCCTTCCATACAGGGAGAGCCTTGCAGTGGAGAGAGCTCAGCTTGACGCAAGTTTTAGCAGAAGATGGTGAACGAGACTGGCTTGATCTTGCATCGCATTCCTATTTCTATTTTTAAACATCACAGGTATTAAATGTTAATATTATTAAAGCTGCACATAGGCAGCATGATATGAAACCTAGCTTATGTGGCTGCTGAAATATTACAGCCATTGCTGTTCAGTGTGCCCGTGAACTTCAGAAAGCTGCTGGTAGATTGGAGGCCTGTTTAGCTGCTCAGGGTTAGGGAGACGAGGTGGGCAGCTTGGGGAAGGACACAGGACCAGCTGTCCACACTACAGCTGCTGTGGGGTTGTGTTTCCATTCCAGCCGGGACAGTGTGGCGGGCTGGATGGGCCACTGGTGAGTGACCTTTGTTTGCACGTTCCTCTGGTGATGCTGTGACGTGCTGCATCTTATCACTAAATCGTGGCCAGGGACCGTCTCTTAACAGTTTTGCTGTGGCTTATTGAGATGAAGACTGAGGTCCTCGGCCCTGGGATAGGCTTTAGAAACCAGAACTAGCTCTGGAAGTAAAGTGTGTCCTGGTTTCGGGAATAAGATTAGTGAAGGTGGGGACAGTTAGGTTCTCAGGGCGGGGACCGCATCCATTTACTCACCTGTGCACACCTGGCGTCCAACCCAGCACCGGGTGTGTGGCAGGCACTCAGTATTTAAATGACATGTTGAATCAATGAGGGAACAGAGTTAAATTGGGCGACTGATGTTGTTGGCATCGTCTCATTTTTGCTGGGTGACGGGAAATCCACAATGGATCTGGTGTGTCTGTGTGCGCGTGTGCACTTGTGTGTGTGTGTACATAGGTGTCTTTTAGAGTTTCCTTAAGAAATAGAATCAATTTCAGTTTTTGGAACTGAAAAAGAATACAGAGAGTGATCTGGGAGTGAGTGGCTGGTTTCCCACAATAACAGTTTCCCTGCTTGAAAAAAGACAGTTACAAGCTCTTTCAGAGACTGGGAAAGAGAGGGTGATGGCTTCCTTTTCCTTTTTGTGTCTGTGGCGTGGAAAACAGAGAGTTTTCTTCCAGACTGTAGGTCTCGGGGATTAGTAGAATGTACTAGGAAATAAGGTTCTTTCTCTAGGGAAATTACTAGTGCCGGTGGCTTGAAATAGCATGAAAAAGAGTTTCCATCGAGGCAGGTCTTCAGGTAGTTTGCTCAAGAGAAGGACCCACGTTGAGTGAAAGCAAAAAGCAGCCAGAGTTCCCTTAGTGAGAAGTGGAAACAGCTCAGCCTGAGCAGAGGCAGCCGCCTTGTCCTTGACGCCCACTGTGCGTCAGGCCGTGGGGTATACAGATA